AAAAATTATACACAAATTTTTGATGATCTATTTTACTTTAATTATTTCTAATCTAAAACATAGATTGATCCTCCAAAGAATAAATTTTTTTGACTTCTTACAAACAGGATTTAAGATGCCATTATCTTTAATTTATAAGATCTTGAATTTACACATTTTTTCTAATTAAAAAACCTCGATTTGAAAAGAAAAGAAATTTTAGTCAAAAATATAAATTCAATGCATTATCATATTGAAGACGCAATTTTTGTGTATGAAAAGAATATTTTTCAATAAATTTTTATGTGAGAAACGTTATTTTGAAATTAAGTGCTTTGTACATTTTCAGATGAAATAAATGTTTTTGTAATTATTTTTGTCCAAGATCAAATAAACTATCTATGATTGTTAAGAAAATCAGTCCATAAACTGGAAAGTCTTTATTTCATAGTAACAAAGTTAAAAGAGAAATACCTATGATCTGTTGAGTACATATTATTTTTTATTATGTCTTTATCAAAATCTTATTGTTAAAACTATGGAAATAATATTTTGGATATTTTTGGGATATTTATATATAATAAATTTTAAATATATATAAGATAAAAATTAAAGTAGAGGTAAATTTAAAATTGCAAGATTTGCATGCCAAGAGTAAATAATAGAGAGACTATGAAAAAATTATTCATCATTTAAGCCTCATGATCTATGATAAATTTGGGAATTTCACCTTTTTTATAAAGATTTGAGAAGATTCCTTTGATTTCTTTTCAAATGGAGATACAATAATTTGACATTCTACGTAGATATTCATTGTCTAAATACAAGAAGTATACATCAATAACTTGTCTCACATTGAACTAAAAATTGAAATGTGATAAATTTTACTCTTCAATCCAAATGATATGCAAAATCACTTAGATTAAAGTGAATTTGCATATCATTTTAATCTGTAATAATCTAAAAGTGTTGGTGGAGCATAAATTTATATTTAGTCGTAAACATGGCACTCTTTTGAAATTATTCAAACTTGATATTATACATGCGAAAACTTTCTTCATGAACTAGGTCTTTGAAGTTTTCAAATGTTATCATTCATGAAAAGCAGAAGGATTGAAGTTGACAAACATCACAAACATATCATTTCACTTGATGCTTTATCATAAGCAAAACATATGAGATGACAAGTCTTGTCCAGAAATTTAGTTTCTTGAAAATTCTCCACATTCTATGCTATTGTGTGAAATCATTGAATTTTATCTCAAATTTGGAAAAAAGATTCAAACATGGACCTTAACTTCAAAGTCCACAAATTAAACATTTAGCGGTTTAGGTTTAGGTTATCAATAGCAAACAGTTTTTTCAAAGCTTGATGTTTTTCACATTACTAAATACAGAATTTTTAAGGATTCATTTGTGGCTAAAAAATGAACTTCGTAATGTGTTCATGTTGGCTACATTTATTTAATCTTATTTTCTAATAAGCTTCTAGGAATGTGACACATATGTCTACATAGTTCTGTTTCATACGATCTTTTTTTCTCTAGGCAATGCTTTTGAATTGCACACTTTATTCCCATTTCAAACCAGCAACCAAAGTCTTTCCCCACATATCTATTCCACCGATTTTCTAGCATTGTGTGATGCAAAATTATTTCTGGATTTAATGTCAGACAGGTTCTGATTTACATATATATAACACGAAATGTCAATGGTCATATCCAGGCATAATTATTTTAGGTGATCGTATATCGAGGTACCTAGAGTAAATAAATTAAGGTTTTCTTTAGCACCTAAATTGACTCGAGCATCGAGATTGTTATCGCCTTAGAATTTGAGCGTGGGAGATCTCAGCTATGATGATTGTTAATCAATTTGTTAGCACGTTAGTCTCATAACTCACCCGATTTTTAAAATTAATTTTTCTCTTGACCATGAGCCTCACATCCCAAAGTGATAGTGATTTTTTTTACCTCTACCTCCTAACCCCTTACTCGCTCTCAAGGCAACTTTTAGCACAAAAATCTTTATTGATGCATCAGACTAATATAACCATGGTCTACGTTACTATGACTGCGGAGATTAGTTTATTTGTGTACATTGGGATACAAAGCCGATTTAAGCATCCCTTACCATTCTAAGCTACAAAGTGATGTGAATCTATGTGAAGTGTATTTTGTTCATGTTGCCGACAATCTTAAGAAATTTGTACTTGGCTAGATGATTATATGCTTTTCGCCTAAGTTCCATCAATTGTGTAGTTGTATGTTTAAGTGAGGATTCCAAAATTTTGATTATTTGATTGAAGAGGCATTCGAGGTCATTTTATTTCTTTTTATTATTTGGTACAAAACCGTTGATCACTCAAAATATTTAACTTGTTTGCATCATGGGCATGTATCACTTGCAAACTTCACGATTGCTCTCAAGATGCTGGTTTTCAGTTTTTGTTCCTTATATGTAATGATAATAAATGATAAAGAATTTATATACGTCTTCGATACAACAGATGTTCTTTTCAAGCAGAAAAAGTTGAACCCTTATTTTAGATAAAATATGCCACGTTCTAACACTTTGGAAATGGCATTTTATGATGTTTCGTCATATATATGATCTACTATTTAGTGCAGATTGTCCATGAGAAAAAAATCTTCCTTTCTGACTCTTACTTTTGAGAGTGTTATTTGTTTAGTGCGACAGAGATACGGAAATGAAAGCATCCCCTCACAGTCTACAAGTACATTTTACTAGAATTAACTTGTTTCTTTCAGTAATCGAAGGAAAAAGAAAGATGACCAACATTATGTTGGTTACTGTTGACCCAAAGCCACTGTTTATGTTGGAACCAATCCATGTTCTTTTGGAGGAAAAATGACACCACTCCTTTGCAGCAAGCCCTTTAACTGATACGCGTGTCACATGGTCAATGATAAACGTTGGCTCGTAAACAACAAAAAGTCTTCATGATAAATTACTTTTCAAGTTTTTGAAATCTTGAAAGTAAATGACAGACGAATTGCCCGCTTACGACTGAGTTTTATTCGCTCTTCTTACACAAGTGTTGTATGAAGAAAAGATCATGCTCATATTTTTCATACGTCAGATTTTTTCGGCGCTTCTCTTAAGGTATTAGTACATGATCACAAACAAGACATAAAGTAAAAGACTTCACTGGTTCCTGACAGCGGAAAACTTCTCTTGGTCAAGTCTGTCATTTCTTTTCTACATTGTGCTTGCTAAACCGCCTTTCTAACTGGACCTGGAATTGGACCTATGAAGAAATCATCCCCTGTCTGAAGTCTTCAATCCAATGATATTCGGCTGGATTGGATCTGGCAAGTACAGTACGTTGATCCAAACCTGTATTGGTGTGTTCTAGTGCTTGCTGACATTTGTATGTCGGAGGTCCAACATGAACAGTGACTTTGGGTCCTGAGACGGATTTGAGTCAACAGACCTGAAGGCTGACACCAATCTTCCTTTTCCTGTTTTGAACTTTTGTGGGTTTGTCCCTAACATTGCTGCCAACAGAAATGTATTCGCCCTCATGAACGAGAACGAACCGCTTTATTGCAGAGAGTAAATTCCAATTGATTGATTAAAGTGACAGCATCCACAGAAGCAGTTGTACTCAATGCTGCTGCATCAGTAATTTCTTTCCAGCCTTCCTCATCTTTATGGAATTATTGCACATCGCTTGACAAAAGAACTGGGTTCAGGAAGTTGTCCCTGTATCTATTGATCTTCGTGGGATATTTGCTGTACCGATAATGTCTATGCTCCAATAGCTCTTCTAGGTGATTCAGATGGACGTTTGCACAAGAGAGCACACTATTATTAAGTCTAATAGCCATGGGATCTCTTCAGAAGAGTTTGGCTATAAAACTGCTTCCCACATCTATTCAACTTCACCGCATAGGATGATGTCACAGGCACATACGCTACAGACAACGACTTTTCTGTTTTCACCATAAACTTTTCCCCAATGCAGAAGGGCTAGCACCATCTTTATTGACTCGACGGCGAACCAATTTGACCATATCTATTGACCGTATTAGAAAAGTGTCCTCGTGGCCGAGGAGTCTTCGAGACTGATGTGGCCCTTATCACTATGAATATTAGTTGTTGTGAAATATTCATTAATCTCGTCTTGGTAGATGTATATGACATCTTCATTAACCTATTTCATGCCAGTTGGGGTACTTAAGACACTCTAAATATGCTCGCTTTACTTTATACATTCACAACATGTAACATTAGGTGATCAGGGTTAAATCAGTCATGAAGACTCCTCCGCCCCAAGTACTGTACTCTTCTTCAGAAGAGACGCTCAACTTGGTTTGCGTTTCCCTTGGTTTCTGGATGAGAACAGAAAACTCCATGGTAGCGAGAAGCCGTGTTGGCTGTGTGCAAGGCATAGCAACGGTACTTCCTTGTAAGATGTCCATCATCTCCCACTACAACAAATATGGCATCGTAGCAGAAACACTGTCGTTCGCTGGACTCTGTAGCATTTTTTATTCGTTGTTTGCCGCTTTAGGCTAAGGGGGCTACCCACAAGCCTTTATAGTAGTTACTAAGGTTTAGGGGTCGGCCCGGCTTCGGCGGAGCCGGCTTCAGACCGGCTCGGCTACGACTTAGTCGAGGCGGCTTCGGAGCCGGCTCGACTCTGCGAGAGCGGCTCGAGCCGGCTCAGTCGACTTAGTCGACTCGACTCAGCCGACGTAGTCGAGCCGGCTTCAGACCGGCTCGGCTACGACTTAGTCGAGCCGGCTTCTGTCATGGCGATCGGCTCCGAGCTGATCCGGCTCTCTCCAGCCGAGCTGAACCGAGCCGGGCCGACCGCTACTAACGTTACAGGTTAGTAACGGTGAGATAGCTTCGAAAAAATTGAAGTTTGGAATAGAAAGTATAGGTAGTGACCTTTACTTTTTGTGGGATTCCGTAGAGTAGGTAGTTATATTCTATATTCTCAGAGAAGAATCTGTAATATGGATCCACGTTGATTCTAAAGGAGAACCATCACATTCACATCACATTCTTTGCGAATATTGTATATTTAAATGGGTTGACCAAGCCAAAGTGTACCTCGTGGCTTTAGAAATAATAGTGGATATGTAGATGGGTGGTACCAACCAAGGAGTAACCTCACCGCTATGTAAACAAAGTTCGTTGGAAAGTCAAGAGTAATGAGGTAGGTGGAGAACATTGGTCAATTGTACTGCTGTTCTTTTCACGGAGGTCATCAAAAAGTAGATGTAGGGGCCAAAAAATAAGATGGAAAGAACCCATCAAGCTGGACAAGTATGAACCCAACGGATAACCAGCGGCTAGTCCCCACAATTATGCAAAACTAGCAGCTACTTTACATGAGAATTAAAACATCTCGAAAAAAAGTTGTGAAATGTCATTTGCTCGCCCCGGTCTTGTCACCCGCAATCTTGTTCAGTGCAGGGTTACTAAGTAGAATCCTCGCCACCAGGAAAATGTACAGAACTAAGCACATTCTCTCGGAAATAGAGATAATGTAGGGAGATGTTCGCTTTCCTGCTTCCTCCAATCTCTTAGACGGTTGGAGGCTCGATTAAAGGTTACCGAACACGCTGTCTTCTGCCCAGGCTAAATCAAATCACTTTAACCAAAAGCTCAATCAGCTACTCTGCAATCCACCCAACCAGCCTCCCAAAAACCTGCAGCGAGCATTCTAAGGTCAAGCTTCCCAGAATAGTGGAATGGGTCTCACTGGAGTGGATCTGAAGGTCTGAAACTGTGTGATCAGAATTGTGAATGATCGTTTCCTCAGCTCTAAAATCTTGAACTCAGCCTTTCTATGCTATTCTGGATGTGGCTTTCCGTTCAGACTGTAAAAAGTCTATCGTAATGTCCTCATCTCTCTGGGAGAAAAATTGATAACGGACGAGGTATGAAGGACGGATTTTCCTACGGAGAACGAGCCATAACACACGAAATCTTACCGTCAACGCCCTGCTGAGTACTTGGCCCCCATCTCGTGAAACCCCAGCAGAAGACGTAAACGGTTTCATGCTCTACAGTTTTCGTGGTGTGGATGATTCGTCATTGCTATCAATCTCTGTCTGAAGTTTTCAATCTCGGCTCAGACCGTATATCTAAAATCCGGGTGCATGTCACCCAACTCCAGCTTCTCCTGCTCGGTGCCAGTCTTGATTCTATACTTTCTCTCGCCTCTGTCCCTCTTCCGATTTTCCGCTGCTAGCGCAATCCAGAAAACAACGCACGCACTCAAGGCGATCACCAGATACACCACAACAACCGTGTGCCCCAAAAGATAATGCGGTGCGTCTCTCGCCCTGTAAATGTTCGAACTGACCACTCCTTGAATATTTCCGAACGCGATCGCCGTGGCCATGACAATGCCGCGTTTGTACGAACCCTCGACATTGTTCGCGATCCAGGCCATGACGGTCGTAGCCACGGGGTACAGCCCGGCGGCCACGAGGAACACGCCGGCGTAGCGCACCGCAGCTCCAGACGAAGAAACGATGTTCATGAGGCAGCCCGTGATCGAGACTGCCAAACACGCGACGCTGTGTAACCCACGCTGGCCAAATTTATCGGCAGTGTACCCGATCAACACGGTGAAGAAGCAGGCCACCACGTACGGCGGCACGGTGAGCAGCTGAGCGTGCGTCGATGTGTAACCGAGTTCCTTGATGATGGACGGCAGGAACAGCGATATGGCATACAGCGGCCCAATCGTGCCCATGGTGATAACCATCACGACGGGCGTCTTCCAGTCCTTCCAAGCGTTCCATAAGCGGCCAAAATTAAACGATTCGTGATGCCCCGCTGAGAGCTGGCCATCCGCTTGCAGCCGCGCGATGATGAACGCGCGCTCGTCCGCCGTCAAGAATTTTGCGGTGTCGGGGAAATCCGGGACTAGCCAGAACGAAGCGAAGCCTGCGAGGACTGTCACCAGGCCTTCGAGGATGAATATCCACGCCCAGCCTGGCAAATCGCCCACTCCTTCCATATTCGAAATTGCCGCGGCTAGGAGGCCGCCGAAGGCCCCCGAGGCCGTGGCAGCGGAGAAGAAAATTGCGGCTCGGAGGCCGAATTCGCGTTTCTTGTACCAGCACGAGAGGTAGTAGCTCACTCCTGGATAGAGTCCAGCCTCCGCGACGCCGAGGAAGAATCGAGCTGAGAGGAGGCCCTCGAAGTTCTTCACGAGACCCATGAGGGTCATGACGGTACCCCATGCCATCATAATCGTTGGAATCCACACACTCGGCCTCAATCGCTTCAGCAAGATGTTGGACGGAACTTCGAAAAATGCATACGGGAAGAAGAAGATAGTGAGCGTCCACAGATATTGCTGGTCAGTCATATGGAGGTCGGTGACAAGTCCTGCAATTTTAGCATTACCGATGTTGACGCGATCGAGGAATGAGAGGAGGTAGAGGAATGACAGATAAGGTATGATGCGCAAATCTATTCTGCGGATCAGAGCTCGTTCTGCCGCTTCGTCGAAAGGTACTGCAGTAGAGACGGTTTGTTTCTCAGCATCGAGGTTGTCAGAGAAGTTTTCCTCGGCTCCTGGACGAGCCATGTTGGGTGAGTGCCCGTAGGCAAGAGCATGGAATGGTCAGAAACGCTCAACGATGCTTCAATTGTTTCTCTTATGCCTGCTCGGAGGACCTCGGCGTGTACATACTGTTGTTTCGAGCGATGATGGTTGCAAATCAGTCCACGATGGTCGGAGAACAATCGGGTTCTAGGGGAAGGGGACCCGCTTGATGTGTGTATTAGACCAGCCAGCTATGAAAAGACGTGAAATACGCGGCGTTGGTGGTAATTTATTTCAACGCAAACGAGGTTTTTTAGACGTGACTTGCACAATGTAACAAATCCTTAACAGAAGCCTTGAATGTCAATATCCTTTGTTCTATTGAAAAAGTATTGAGTCGACCAAAATCTGTCGGTTTTGGCTTTGAAAATTCTCAGTAAGAAACGTCGGTAGCGTAAAGCAGTGGAATGACAAAACTGTGATTAAGGAGCTCGGTGTATTCCGATTCCGATAAACGAAAGCAGGAAAGTCCGGATAAACTTTGGGAATCCATCTGGAGGTATTCCAAGTGTCATAGGACTGTGGAGTGGACCCCAGCGGGTGATACAAAATGAAATTCATCCAGTAGGAATGTAGACGAAATATCCACGTTCAACTTGAGTTGGACTCCAATTCACGGACTTTTGCTAAGTTGACCATTAAAGGAGCTTTTAACCTTAGTCCACATTGTCAAATACCTTCATAATTGACTGGATAAAGTATGTCATTCTGCAAACCAGATTTTCAAACTGTACATTGACCACTTTACTTTATGTCTTAAATTTGTGTAGACTGCTCACGGAAATCGCCGTGGACTCCTGGCGGTTGCAATGTTGCCTCATTATGAGACTACGTAGAACAGCTTTCTTGGTGTATGTTGGTGGCCTTTAGAATAATCTTCTTCGTCTCTCTAATTTAGAAGAACCATGGCCAGTCACAAAAAGGTCGACGATACGAACGTGAAAAGGATTCTGCCCCAGCTGGCCAGCAAAGATAAAAGCTCACGCCACAATCTGAAAACCTGATATTTGGACTGAATCCCCAAGGAATAAGTACTTCTTTGAATAGAGGCGAAATGAAACTTGAAGAGTATGTCTCATCCTCATGTCGTGATAATCCAACTTGTTTGCTTCTTGTGACGTGATGGTTGTACGTTCTTAACCTTGCGCGCTTGTTCTCTCTGGAGATGTCTCGATCAGTGTAATTGACCTAGGCTCTGTTGATAAAAAAATTTTTACGATGTCCGAGTTATTGTTCATGCTCATGTGCGCATGACCGTTCTCAACAATAAATAACCAAACATTGCAGCGTGACTCAATGTTCTGCCAATGCTCTAGGATCCATCATATTCCACAAGCTTCATTAAAAGAAGCTAACGAGACTGCAAAGAACGGTCTTCAGTAGTCACGGTTGACTTCAGTAGAATTCCATGAAGGCAGCATCAAGCGTTAGCCATTACACCAAGCGTTAGCAGATTGAGTGATAAATCTAAATCAAAATATGTTGATTTGGATTTATCACTCTAATTTTGGATAGAGGTGGAAAAGCTGATTGCTCATCACCCAATAGTCGTGGCAACTCAGTTGCGCATGTGTGAATACAGCAATTTCAGCGTATCGTTGGCAAGATTTCTCGGTATTGACACTGTGAAATCTTGCTGAAAAGATGGTCGTGATGAGAGAATACATTTGTTTTATACTTCCAGGTGACAATCTCTTGAAAAATCTGGAATTTAGGTGACAGTTTGTCCAAATTATCGTGAGCTTAGTAGAAGAAGTCTGAGGTGTGCATCATTCTTCGCGACCTCAAACTCAAAGTCGTCATTTGAGACGGCTCAACTGACTAGCGGCTAAGAGATGGCATCGTGATGCGTATCCCTTTCTTCATTATTTGTCTCTAACGTCCCCTTTTTCTAGGCAGAGGCAGATTAGCAACTCATGGACACACATTTCCTTGGCCTCATTACTAAAGATACCAAGCACGTAGAACTTCAGTTAGATATGAAATAAAATTCGTAGTAAATGATAGGTAGCCCGTAAGAATAAAATTATGGGAGCAAAACAAATAAAATTGCTGTTTTGCTTTTAACCTTATTGATAACTAGTAAAGTATGGCTTGATAGTATTTGCTACGAGTTACCACAAGTGATGGGAACTGGATTGATACTCGTTTACTAGACCATGTTTCCAATCAGAAGTGCTCTCACGGCGAGTCGAGTCTTGAAGCCTTGTGCAAGATTGATAACTTTTTCATATACTTTGTCTATTTTCCTATAGCAATCAGTATAGAATAAAATAGTTTTAACAATGGTCGGTGATAACTCAAAACAACGGCGGTGGCCACCACGCAATTATGACACATTGAAATCATACATCTAGATAAATTCCGTCGACTCCTGAGGTGCTTTGAACCAACAATGTGCCGTGTCTTCAGATATTACAGTGGAGACGTGTTAAACTTCTTGTAAGTATAGTTCCGAGCAAAGTTTCTTGAAACTCCAATTCAAGAATCTGCAGTAAAGGTAACAAGTCAAGAACCTTTCTGAGACCACAAGGACGTCCACACATGATTGGCTGCAAGTACAAACTCAATGTTATACGGTACAGTAGTATGACTTATGAGATTCAGTAGACGGACAGTACGGTAGTGAAAATCACTTTGTACAGATAGGATTCACCCACTTGAAATTAAAATACGCGGAAAGGTATTGTTAAATACTGATAAATCTGCGCCTATGTTCAAAGCGGTGCAGGTAAATTGTAGTGCTCTAGATAGTGCTATGATGATGATTGACGCTGTAAGACCTTGAAAGTCCTCGGGTCTGTGGGTCTTTCCCTACAGCTATGCACGCTGTACAGAGCTTCCTTTTTCTTAAATACCCTCTTGAGCGACGAGATATATATGATTAACTTTAAATCGATGACCTTCTTATGACAAATCTATCTTTTTCTCATGAATAAGTACAAGAGAATACAGTATCTAGCTGGTCTACTTCGCACTAACTGTGTAAAAGGCATTTAAAGCTCGTCCTGGTTCTTGCCTGGCCCACCGTCTAGATTGCATTTTACCTTCGGTGGTTTCGGTGCACTCAAACCGATAAGAACAAAATCTCAACATGTAGGAAACGCGCGGATGGTCAGCCACTTTAGAGTGGATGATGACTCTCGACAGAGCCAAGACCTCTTTTCAACGAAGGGATTTGGCCCCTCGATTGTTTACTCATAACATCGTGGGGCGTGGATTGAAGAAGGTCCCTAGGGTTCGGTTGCTTACCCAACATATGAGCGTTAATGTCTGAGAAAAACCTTACAAAAAATATCTCTGGAAAGCGTTTGTATCAATCAGCACAGTCGAACATGAGTACAAGCTCATGACGGAGCAACCAAGCTGAGAGTCGAAGTTCAATCTTTCGATGCGCCAATCAAGATGTTGGTCGATCTTGCTCGACATGAAATTTGAAGAATAGATTACGACGGAGAACCCACTCATAGAATGCAAGTCACAATCCATGAACCGCCTTCTGATGATGCGACTGTAACATGTCTGATGTTCCAGTCAAAGCTTTTGATCAAGCTACCAGTATCATGGCACAGTAAGGTTCTCCACAATGACGTGGTATATGATCTGGTTTATGAAATATATTACGATGTCTTATTGTAACTTGCACAAGAAAGAGCTTTACAGAAACCATAAGGAAGTCAGTCAACCATGTTACTCGATTTTATACTCTCAAATTTGATGTCCATAGTTCTATATAATCTTAAAATAACAATGAGTTATGATACACATAGACCAATTGCCCTTTCAATTCTCACTCTCAACAAAACTAGCACGTTTAACATCTCTGATCATAATGTGTATGCTAGTGACTCGAACTTTTGAAGTATAATACAATGTATACGACTGTCACTTCCACATGCAGATCTGAGGGTATCAAGTTTTCATACTTCAAAAACTTGTCCACACAAGGAATCACGTGACCTTTGCAAGAGGGAATTTTTGGCTTAATTTTCATGTTATCTCCATTGAAACCGATGACCTTGTGAGGCTAGGTACTTGGAGGATTTAATACTTTGAGAAAATCTTGAAGTAACTTCAGTTAGACACGATATAATAAAAGAAAATATAAATATATGAAAGAGTGGGGGAATAGTCCAATGATTAAGGAATAGGGGCAGGGGAGCTAGCCAAATAATCTTACAATGTGATATTTTATAGTGCAGCTAAGATATGCTAACCATGTAGGTCAAAAAATAAACGAGCATAGGAAGAACCATTCCCCGATGTGATTGAAGTGAAAGAGCAAACGAATGCGTGACGATCTTACAACCGTTGATGCAAGCTTTTGATATTCCTCGATAATAGATTTTGCACGCTCTTTGATTCACCTCGATGTGCTCAAAGTGCATCTCAAATTCGGGGAATGCTTGATGTGCTCAAAGTCAATAGATGCACTCAAGATTCAAATGAGATCAATTTGGGGTCTTCTTTCACCGATCTGAAAGAATGAAAAGAATACAAAAGTGGCAATCTGGCAGTGGAGAGCAAAACAACGGTTCAACGCGAACTAAGACTCTAAGAGACTTGTATACCAACTGACACAAAAGGACGCATAGGAGTGGTTTAGGAAAGGGGGACGCCCATGGATACTTCCGTCAAGGGAAGCGACAGGGCTTGGAACGTTCGGTAGTTTGTTACGTCGACATGGACAACCATTGGTATTTGAGACAAGGTGCTGATTTGTGCATCTCAAATTTGTAAGCAACACATAAAATGAAGATGGGGACCAAGATTGAGAAAGGATGGGAAGTGTTCAATGAATATTGCAAATAATTGTGTTGCAAATACTGCAAACGGAGGAGGAAAGCTTCCAAGTACTGGAGTTTGCTTTTCCCAAAGACTCTACAAATTAAGCCCAGGAAATTTGTTAGGAGTTTTAGGCTATAAACTTATTATCGCATCAGGTTTCGAGAAATATATCTTCCAAGGCCTAAAGAAATTACGATTATAAAATAAATTGTTTCATTCAGAGACGGAACGAATATTCGTCGAAACCTCGGGCCTTGCTCCAGAAGCGAATACTTTTTCGGCAAACAGACAAGAAACAAAATTCTACAAGCCACCACCAAACGGCCACAGCACCCAATGAACTCCTGCAGTAGAGGGACGGTGAAACTATAACTGAGATGGAAGTCAAAGCAAACCATCGCATGAAGGTAGATGTTCAATCTAGTGTTGCAAATTTGTTAAAGAAGCTGGATCAAACGGATAAAAGAAAAGATTGAAAGAACCTGTCGAGCAATACCAAAACTAACGGTAAACCAATTGCTTTCCTTTATTGTCATAAAAAGCTATTTTGTTTAAGATTCTTTTTATATAATTAAATAAAAATGATAAGGACATGATCGAATCAATGATGTTGGACATTATATTTCATCTATTGTTTCAAAATTAGAAAATTTATTTGTTTTTCTGTAACATGTAACTGATGTTAAATATTAAAAAAGAAATTTTGAGATATTTCAAGTTGTAAAAATATCAGATTAAAAATAATCCAAATACGTTTAAAAGATAAAATTTTAAATATACTTTTAGTATATAGCATGTGAAAACCACATTCATATTTGACATTAGAATAGTATAAATGGAACATCTTTGCTTATCATCTA